TTGGAGACCTGGAGGCTGTGAGGTTGGGGGGCCTAAGTCTAGGGAGAGCTGAGTCCAGCAAAGGTGGCCCCTGCACTAGCAAGCCAGGACATGCGCCCACGGTATCTGCGAGCCTTTGGGCAGGTGGCAAAGACAGGGACACGCTGGCCTAGCCAGGCTGCCTTGGGTCCATGTAGCCCATTGCCCCTCCACCTGCCCCAAGGGCCTCCCCAGGTCTCCCAGGTCACCAGCATCAGCCCCAAGCTTCCGGCTTCCACCAAAATCCCCCAGGCAACCTGCGGCTCAGGGTCTTGCTGTCCCCAGAGAACCAACTGGACAAGGACGTGCCCAGAGCCAGTGTGGGGGTGTGCAGAGGTATGAGGCAGAGGGAGGGCTCGCCCTGCGGCCCCCTCTTGGTCACAGGAGCACATTGTCCATTCTTTGGATGGGTCCTCAGCCAGAGCTGCTGACATTCCCACTGATGGCCTCTCACTGGGCATGGGCACTGTGCCGTGCATCCACCCATGCTGAACCCTCATGGAGCAAGGACTGTTTACTACTGAAGGAGAGAGACGGAGGGGGCCAGTTAGTGACACGGTGACTAAGGCAGCTGGACCCCACATGGCCGACTACATGGTTGGAGTCCCTGGACCTAATGGCTCGAAAACTGTGGGAGGCTGTGCACCAGCGAATATCGCTGATTTCCAGAGAGCAAACAATTACACAATGCCAAAGGCCATGATTGGCTCCCCTTCAAAACCTCACCTTGGGAACCAGCAGTTAGCGTAATGGTTATGTCGCTGGACTCCCACGCAGTCGACCGCGGTTCGCGTCCCATACCCGGTGGCTTAAAACGCACGTGTGCGTGCGTGCCCAAGATCCTGAGAGGAGAATGGAGGAGAAGGGATTGCGGCGTGACCAACCCCCCTCAGGGGTGATCTCTCGCTTTCTGTCTCTCTGTCTCTCTCTGTCTGTCTGGTGAGCACACACGCCCTATAGCGAAAAAATCTCTCCAAAACAAAACAAAACAAAAAAAACCCTCACCTTCAAAATCATACTCTGATTGGCCACTTCCCATAGCAAATCAGTGAGCTTAGAATCCCTCAGATTTGCATATCTGGTACCTCATGATTGGTCCACAAAAGCAACCAATCATAACCCACCTTTTACAATCTTTCATTCAACCAATCACTGCCCACCAACATGTATATAACCACAATCCCTGGCCCACAATCGCCAGACGACCCTGAAGAACCTGAAGAGTCGTAACACCGCATTGTCTCTAGACGACCCTGAAGAGCTGTGACACTGTGTGGTCTCCGTGCTGCCCACAATAAACAGAGGACCCTGAAGAGTTGTAATACTGCATTGTTCATCCTGTCTCACTCCTTCCTTCAGGAAACCTGTTCGACTGTCCCCCGGGTCAGGACAGAAAACCATGCAGGAGCATGTGTGCATGTGTGCCCAAAGTCCTAAGAGGAGAATAGAGGAGAAGGGATTGTGGTGTGGACGTCCCCGATGGGGGTGCCTGCTCTCTCTCCAGCAAGTACACTCCCCTGTAGCAAAGTGAAGAGGAGGGAGAGAGGCAGAGACAGAGCACCCCACAGCGCCTTGACCCCGTGATCTGCCCCAACTTCAGCAGCTCTGGATCAAGGACGCAGTGCCTGGCATACAGGGAGGTACAAACCCAAAACCTTCCCATGTGGGTCGGCCTTGCGGAGCCCTGCACCTCACCACTGCGCCACCTGGCCCTGCTGGGGAAAGTAGTATTCCCATTTCATGGAAACTGAAACAGAGGCTTCAGGTTGTGACTTGGTTAGGGTCACAAAGCCAGTTAGCCTTCAAGATTCACCCCCAGATCTGTCTCACCCCATTGCTGTTGTCACCTCCATCTTCACCAGCCAAGCCAGACCTCCCCTGGAACCCGTCCGTGGGAGAAGCCGGGGGTCGGAAAGGGGTGGGGGAAATAGTGAAGCAATGACAGTGCTGTGTAGTGGCTGTGTGGCATTACCCTGTATGCTTTTTCTGTAATTTGTAACCTTTTCAAAATAAAAGCTGTTTCAAAAGAAATAAATAACAGCAAGAAGAAAAGGAAGAATGGGGAGTGGAGCAAGAGCTCAGACCAGGCTGCCTGGAGTGGGGCCTGGACGGAAAGGGGTGGGGGAAATAGTGAAGCAATGACAGTGCTGTGTAGTGGCTGTGTGGCATTACCCTGTATGCTTTTTCTGTAATTTGTAACCTTTTCAAAATAAAACCTGTTTCAAAAGAAATAAATAACAGCAAGAAGAAAAGGAAGAATGGGGAGTGGAGCAAGAGCTCAGACCAGGCTGCCTGGAGTGGGGCCTGGACAGGGCCAGGCCGGTGGCAGCCCCTCCGCCCGAGAGCACCGTGTCCCCTGGGCCCAGCTGCCACCCATCATCGCTGGCCCCGGCAACGTCCACCCTCCCCCACAGCTCTGCTCCCAGGCGAGGAGGGGGGATCCTGCCTCAGGAGACTCGGCCCAGCCAGGCACTGCAGGATCAGAGTCTGCAAATGCAGGGCCTTTTGAGTGCCCCACGCTCGCCTGCAGTGCTCTCCTCCTGCCAGGCCACATCCACACTGTCACTCTGTGTGAGTCCTCCCAGACGCTGCCTCTTTGCCCCAAAGACTAGGGATCGAATCTCATTCTCACCACTCACCTCCTAGGTGCCTTCAGAGAGGTAGTTCCTCTGCCCAGGCTGCTCCCTCACCTACAAAACAGCGTACTTGGCCTGATGGAACCGTGCACGTGAGACCTGGCAGGTACGACACCTGGTGGGTCGCAGCCATCGGGAGGACTCTCCTCCCACTACTTCCCGTTCTGTTCCTTTTTTTTTTCTTTTTAATTATTTTTATTTAGGGGCCAGTAGGCAGCATGATAGATAAGGCGTTGGAATTCCCACATGGGCTACCGTGGTTCGAGTCCTGGAATTGGTGGCTTGCTTTCTAACTCTCCCTCTCTTTCTCTGGCAAAACTCATGTGAAGTAAATAAATAAATAAAATAATTCTTTAAAAAAATAAAAAAAAGAACTTTTTAAAATAATTATTTTATTTAACTTTATTTATTTATTTTTATTTGGCCAGAGAGAGAGAGAGGGAGAGAGAGAAAGTACCCCCCCCCCAGGGGGGGGTCATGCCCTAATTTCTGGAGTTGGCCGTGTGAGTGTGGTGCCTTTAACCACCCCACCACCTGCTGGCCCAGTCCCATTTGATGATTATTAATATTATTATTATTCTCTCCCTTAACACTTCTGGGCAGAAAGCAGAAGTGTGCCCACCTTCTCGCCCGTGTGGGATCCAGCTCTCTGATCCTCCAGCCGCCTGCTCACCCCGAGGGCAGGATTTTAGGATTGCAGACTAGGAGGCAAGACGAGGTGTGTTTGTGCATGCACATGTGCACGTGGAGGAGAAAACTCTGACCAATGTCTTAGAAAATACTGTCACTTTCCGATTTGTATTGGGGAGGAAACCATTCTTTTGTTTGAAAAAGGAAAAGAAAAAGACCTTTAAGTCGCTGTAATGGGCTTTTCAGTTGTGCTGAGAGATGTCACAGTCCCTTTGGGGTGAGCTGGACCGACCTAGGCTCCGCTTAACAACAGGAGAGGAAGCTGCTTCCTGGGAGGGGCCTGCCCTCCTCCCCCGCCAGCGCCAGCGGGCCAAGCCAGGAGCAGAGCGGAGACCCCCGGAGCCCCCGCGGAGGAGCGAGGGAGAGGTCAGGCGGGCCCTGGCTCCTGGTTTGGAGAGAAGTGCTTGCAATGCCCTCCGGGAGCCTAACCCCGCAGGGGTAACTGCTCACGTCCCTGCCGGAGAGCTGCGCAGAAACCACGCAGATTCCATCCTGGTCCTGGGGGTACCAAGCCGCGCCTACGGCCTGCACACACGAACTCTCTATCTGCGACAGCTTCTCCATGATCCCCTCATGTGTGCACTTCGCTGACAAGAAAATGAAGACAGGTGGGGCAGCCCGCCACGGCCTGTGTGACATGCGAGACCGGAGGCCACACCACTGGCCCTGCAGGGGGCTCTCGGAACCAGCTCCCTCCAGGAGAGAAGGCGCCTCAGGGGGATCTGGCAGTCCAGAGGGCTTCCCAGAGGAAGGGGACTGAGACCCGCGACTTCCGAGGAATTGATCAGACTGAGAAGGGAAAGGACATTCCAGGCGGAGGGAACAACACGTGCAAAGGCCCAAGGGCAGCCCAGACGGAAGGAAGGAAAAGGGAGTGACAGTTTCATCTGGAGACCAGATCACGCCAAAAATCTGTCTGAAGAGCTGCGGGTGCCACTGGAGCATGCGAGGGCGGCTGACAGTCACACTTGCATTTTGGGTGTCACTCCGAGGGCTGCGGAGAGGGCAGATAGCCAGGTGAGGGCAGGGGCGGGGAAGGCCAGCGGTCCGCTCTCCCGGACGGCTGGGAAGACAGAAGAGTCGGGACCACAAGGTCTCCTTCTCCAGGGCGAGGAGCGGGGCGACAGGGCGCGCGGGCGGGCTAGAGCTTGAGGGCCTGGCCAGGGCTGGGTAGGCGGGCGAGGCGGAGCCGGGGGTGTGGCAGGTCGGGACGGTCCCAGGACCGCGCGGACTGCGGCGGGTTCGGCGCGGCGGGGTTCGGGGATGCCGCCCCGGGCGGGCGTGGCTCTGGGCGGTCCCCGGCCACGCCCCTCTGGGGATCCGCGGGGCCCGCCGGGCGGGGGCCGGGGGG